CGCCTCCCTCCTCGCTGGGCATTCAAACAGCTTTCCGACATCACCAGCCAAGGATTTTTCCCCCTCTCCTTAGTCGCCGTCCGTCCATCAGTACCTGCAGGGGGGAGGAGGAGGAGGGAGGAAAGCGGAAAGAGGAAAGAGCATAAGCTTGAGCCTTCCGATCCGACCACGAATACTCCCGTAATAAACCCACCGCCCCAACAAATCTGCCATAGCAGCCGCCGCCGCCGCCGGTCACTTCTCGTCTCAGCGCTTTCTTTGCTTCTTGGCTAATCGGTTTGTTGGGGGTAGCTTTTATGAAACAAATCTTTGCTCTTAAGCCACTTACATTTTGGGGGGTTCCTTAGAGTCTCCCTTGGGGGGGCTTCTCCTCCCTTTAGCCCCCCTCGGATTGGAGGTTGGATTCAGTTGGATACGGCGCAAGGTTCTGGGCTCCTGGTGGCTTTTTTTTTTTCTCTCTCTCTCATCGACCCCCCTTTCGTTCCCACCCCTTACCTTTTGCTTTTCGTATGTATGCGTTTTTTAAAATAAATCCTGATTTTGGAAGCTGAGCCGGGGAAAATGGGCAACGGTGATTGGGACCGAAGGGGAGTCTCTCCGTCACTGTTGCTGGGACGCGTGCCTGTGCTGGTGTCTTAGAGCAAGAGCCTCCCTGAGCTTTCGGAGTGGAAGGTAAGGAAGAGGGTCCAGGGGTCACCTTTTCTCTGCCGGGGGTCGCCACCGTGGAGCTTTGGGCTTAATGTTTGAGAAGGGAGGAAAATGAAAGGAAAGGCTGTTGCTGGCGGATGGGGAGGCTGTGAGCAAATCCGACTGTCTGCATTTACTTAAACGCCGCAGTTGAAAAGTTAGAGAAGTCTGGTTTTCAAGAGATGTGCTGGGTCAGAAGGAATAAGCAGAGAGACCTAGAAAATCTGGCAGTTTTGTGTGATTGGGGTAATTTTATGGGGGGAAAATTTTAGGTTAAAAGGAAGTTAAGAGAAGGCAGTGGGTCTTCTATTGGGGGGAAAAATCTGTGGAGTGATGGCGCCGTCTATGTTCGACTAAACTAAAGTGTCACCCAGAAAATCAGTTGTGAGAATAGCTAAACTCAGTGCTGGTTTGCTTCTCAGCAAGAGATAGATAGATAAATAAATAAATAAATAAAACATCCTTGACACCTCCGTGGCCAGCCTTTACCCCTGCCCCCACCTCTTCTTTAAGAGGGAAATACAGCTTTTTGAACGGTCCCTGCAGTCCAAAGGGGGATGAGGGTAATGATTTATTTTTTATTATTTAGAACAAAACAAGACTCTGTACTCCAGACTGATGAAAAATAAAGAGCATTATACTGAGTGTGCTCTCTTGAGCAGGCATTAAAGTGCTATTTCCTCACTCTTTCTGATCATTGATGAGCACGGCATTGCAGACATGCACTGTCAAATAAATGGAAGCAAAAGTACCAGTTTCATTAGGAAAAGACATACGACCTCTTTTTGAGTTCCTGATTATAAAATGAAATCCCCTTTCATGGATGGAATTCCTAATTTAGACACTTATTGTCACATTGGCTCTCAACGCCTACACTCTATCCTGAAGAACACTGCGCAGACCTGCATTGCCTGCAAAGTGCAACAGCAAAAAAAAAAAAAAAAAAAAAAAAAAAGGAAATTATTTCCAGAATTTCTTACAACTTTCTCTGTTGTTGTTTTTTTTTTAAACCTTTAAATGCTCATTGGCTTATTTTCTCATGAAGAAAATGCATTATTCATTGAGCTATTTGCTTGAAACAGAGAACACTGTTTTGATGGTCCCAGCAGTTCTGATGTTATTTTAAACTGCTGCTATATAGAGATTTAGAGTTGGGGCTGTGTTTGCCTATATCAAGACATAGAATTTGAATTATAATCTCGAAAATGCAGATCTGTCTTCAGGGACTTCGGGCACTGGATTTGGTGTGCATGCGTTGGTGTGTGTTATGCAATGGGAAGGAAGAGGGTTTTATCCTTTGATTCAGAGAAGACCCAGGCAAAGGCATGAAAACTCTTAACTGTCTATATGTCTGTATGTCTGTCTCTGTTTACAGAACAGTGGAAGAGACTGCAGCCTAAAGACTTTTAAAATTAACTTGGCATCACTTTTATCAGCTCAAAGGCTAAACAAACAAACAAACAAAAAGCAGTGTCATTTATTCTAAGAAATAACTTCTTAAAGGTTAAAGCTGAAAAATATTCAAGTTATTTTTGGATAACAACTTACAGAGGTAAATATAATCAAGGACTACTTTATTATCCAAAGCCAGGGTTGAAATTAAAAAAAAAAAAAAGAAAAGAAAAGAGGAGCTTTGGAGTTGTTGTTGGAAAGGGAGCAATTCAATAATTGGAATCTGCTAGGAACAAAAATGCTAATGTGTTTTATTACCATGTGTAAGCCTTAAATTACAGTTGATAAGATAATTTTTCAAAAATTAAAAGACTGAAACCAGCTCAATTACTATGGTTTTGGATTTTTTTTTTTTTTTTTTTACTGACATCACCTTTGGATACAGATACTAATACAGTGATCCACTTTATGTATCCCAAGAGGGCATGTCACATTGAAATGACTGCCTTAAATCCTGGTTCTCAGTGGTGATGTTGAACAACAAGTCTCCCCTATGTGTTTATCCATCTATGCCCTTTCTCAAATGATGTTTTTAAAATTAATTAATCCACATGAATGCCCATGTTTTTGCAAAGGAATTTCTGAGCAGTTCACATGGTGGCCCCTGCAAAGGCAAGTGGGGCATTTGGGAGATGATGTTCCATCTGTAATAAATGATCATTTGTGCTTTTAAAATTGTGGCCATAATTTATCATCATTACTTTTCACATTTAAGAGAAGGGAAATAATGTGATGACAGCCTGTTCCCAGATTATCAGATTAGATTTTGTATGATGGTGTTTACTGCAGGCAAAGGACAGAGAGAGAGAGGTTGTGTAGACTATAGACTGATTAATACTATTTCGACAATTAGCGTTTACATGATGACGTTTTAAAACTCCATGTTTTCCCTTTTCATTCGATAGAATGATAATGGACGTGGAGGATATCCTGGTAGATAAGTTAGGGCATTCTTATTAATAATCTATTAAATATTATTTTTAAATGGAATGTTGCGAATTTGACCACTGTGAATGGCCACATGAGGGCGCTGTTCACACAGCAACAGATAATTTTCCTGTGTTATAAAATAAAAATTACCTGTCCTTCTTTTAAAAAGGGTTTTTTACCGAAATCTTGAAAACAGCTGGCTGTAATATTGAAAGGAGTTTATTTTCTCAATGCGTGTAGACTCCTACTTGCATTTTACTTTCATTGCCATTTTTACAGGCCAAATGACATAGGATGAAGGCTGTTCGTAACCTGCTGATTTATATATTTTCCACCTATCTCCTGGTTATGTTTGGATTTAATGCTGCCCAAGACTTCTGGTGTTCAACTTTGGTGAAGGGAGTCATTTATGGATCGTATTCTGTAAGTGAAATGTTTCCCAAAAACTTTACAAACTGCACTTGGACGCTGGAAAATCCAGATCCAACCAAATATAGCATTTACCTGAAATTTTCCAAAAAGGACCTTAGCTGCTCTAACTTTTCACTCCTGGCTTATCAGTTTGATCATTTTTCCCATGAAAAAATAAAGGATCTTTTAAGAAAGAATCATTCTATAATGCAACTCTGCAATTCCAAGAATGCTTTCGTTTTTCTACAATATGATAAAAATTTTATTCAAATACGTCGAGTATTTCCATCTGATTTCCCAGGATTACAGAAAAAAGGGGAAGAAGATCAGAAATCTTTTTTTGAGTTTTTGGTATTGAACAAGGTCAGCCCAAGCCAATTTGGTTGCCATGTATTATGCACTTGGTTGGAGAGCTGCTTAAAATCAGAAAATGGGAGAACAGAATCATGTGGGATCATGTATACAAAATGCACCTGCCCTCAGCATTTGGGAGAGTGGGGGATCGACGACCAGTCGCTGGTTTTGTTAAATAACGTGGTGTTACCCCTGAATGAGCAGACAGAGGGCTGCCTGACCCAGGAGCTGCAAACCACCCAAGTCTGCAATCTTACCAGGGAGGCCAAGCGACCACCCAAAGAAGGTAAGTGGCCAAAGGAGAGGGGAAGGTGAGCGGGGGAGCACTTTTGGGAGATGGAGTTAAAACGTGCTGTTTCAACACACAGGCCTAATTTTTTCTCCTTTATTGTCACTTTTGGATTCATTTGATTTGTGGTATTCACTGATAAAGGTCTCTTGAGCTAGTTTTAGGATTCAGGGTTTTAGAGATAGGGCGGTGAGGGCTGGATAGCTCACCAGCATGCGCTGGAAGTGCGGGTGGAATTTTCAGGAGAAAGATGCAGAAACCTAGAGCCAGCTTGCACTAGAGATTGGTGAGGAGGGAGAGGGATGCCATTATTCAGGCTGCAGCCCCTTGAGGTGACACACACGCTCCACCTGTGAAATGGATTTATAGACATCTCCCTTCTGCTCCAGCCCAGCAAAACGTCCACTTTACTTCCTCTCTCCTATGCCCACAGAGTCCTTCCCTCTCACTCCCCACCCATTTCCAGATTTGATTTGGGGGCATCTTGGCTAAAAGGTGATGCAAACTCATTAGCTTGCCTGTTTGGACCAAATGACTTCCTGACACTTGAAGGCAGGGGTATACCTTCTCCCCTGGTCTGGAATTTTATTTGAGGTGCTTGCGCAAAAATCTCGCACGCTTGCTCTTTCCTGGGTCAGAAGGCAGTCACTAGAAGTGCAAACTCTCCAGGTCTTCTGGTTCTGGAGTCGCCTGAGGATGGGGTGGAGGGGTGCAATGAAAACACATACTGATCCTTTAGGACCCCATCCGCCTCTTGAGAGTGAATTTTTTTCTTTATCTTCTTGGTCCCCGGTTGATGCACAGAAGAGAGGGAACGTCTTAGAGCTAGATGGGGGGAGGGAGGGGGAGGAAGTGCAGCGGAAATGCGGAAGAAAAAGAAAGTACAGGAATGATTTATAGTTTTCACCCAATCCCCAGTCGGGGAGCTACCAGAGGATTTGAGGTTGTGATGATGTGTCATAATGCAAGAAAGCGTGACATATTTTGAGAAAATGACTTTTCTTGTTTGGAAGGTTAATGGATGTTGTGTTCCATTCCTTTAAGGACACGGCTGATACATATTCGTTCTTGCTTCCCAATCCTGCAACCAGAGAGTGTATTGATTTCTTATGCAGGAAATGTTTTCTGATCGCCACAAAGATCCCAGTCTGTGGAAAGGGACAGCCAAACTCTAGTCTCCAAGCTCCAGTCCCTCTTTCCTTTTCCTCAACCAACAGACGTTGTCTTTGTGGCCAATATAAAATTGACACGTTGTTGGAGAATTTTCTTTAAGGGTAGCCAAGGCTTTGTAAGGGGGAGTGGAGGAATGGAGAACCTAAATAGCCTAACGCTATTTCTCTGCTGGCTGCAATTTAAGGGATGGGAATTATGGAAGAGCGATGGTAGGAGAGGAAAAGACCTGTTAGAAAATGAAGGCAGACTAATGGCAGTGAGAGAGGGGTGAAAACCTTAAAGATTTCTGCAGGTCACTGTTTCACTATCAGCTGTGACTGAAGAAAACAAAGTGATTTTAAATTGCAGGAGTTATTTTCTGTAGTAAAAAATCCCAGAGAAGCACTTGCAACTGCAGGGATGGTATTTAACACCATTTAAAACTAATTAGTGTCCCCTAGAATAAGAAGCTACAGTACACTCAAAAAATGTGATGTTACAACCTGGCTAATAAACAATTAACATAAGAAGCTGGTTTTTGTTTGTTTTATTGTTATTTTAATAAAATTTAGAAAATCTGTTTCTTCAATGGTTAAATTTCTATCATAAAATTGAGTACTGATGACAGTGGAAAGTGAATTCAGTGTCACAACTCTTTTATATGAAAGGTAGTAAGTGACAAAAACAAAGTTTTAGTGTGCACAATAAGCATGATTTTCAAAGATTTTGTTGATCATGATCTTGAAATGTGGGTTAAGATAATGCTGGGATTTACAGAAGCTACACTGGATAGCCATTTGTTTTGTAAGTGAAGACAAATAAGAGTGATTTTAGACCATGGGAGATAAATTGTATATTGTTGTTTATTCACTGGCAAAATGAAAAAGAAATACCTTCACTGACAAATATACTTACGTTTAAAGTGCAGTATGATGTTAACAGAGTTGAACTAGAAAAAGTTTGTCTCATAGGGGAGCAACATACGCTATGTCAGTAGAAGTGCATAGTCTATTCTGTACATTGTGAATTTGTGTTCTTTGTTTAGGTATTCTGAGGTCAGAAAGGTAAGGATAAGGAATTACTGATGACACAATTGTAGCTGATGCATTTGTTAAGTAATTCTTACAGAGTACATGTACCACTCTTTACCCCAGTTAAATAATATCTCTTTGGCTAGGCTACATTGTAGGAAAGGAATGTGAAAATCTATTGACCTTTGATTTAATTAAATTTAAGCAAAGTACATTTTGTCTTCAGTATTTGATATTAATGATATATAAAATACTAATAAATAATTATTTAATACCATTTCAAGTAAACTACCATATAATGACATAGAGCTTGAGGTTAATCATTACATATAGTTGTGCTACTCATATCTCATTTTATTCCAGAGTGTCATTTTATATGATAGCATGTAATTCTAGCTTTTAAAATTAGGTTTTAAAAATTCAACTTATATTTTATATTACTTGATGTTTTCCATTTCCTATTTTAAAAGGTTGTCTTTTAAGTTACCAGAGGAATAAATACAAGATTACTCTCCTTTGACTCCCATTTTATTCACTAATAAATACTGACTCAGAAGGCCTGCCTGGAGTAGAAATATCTTCAACACGTATTACACCATAGAAGTGGCACAAATTCAAAGAGTCTTCACACTTAGTAGATGTGATTCCAGATTGTTTTGTGTAATACTAATGGTGATGGCAAAGACATATCAAATGTTGAATATTGTGAGTGTGTCCACTGGTATTATGAACTCATATTTGGTATTTAGTATTGAAGAAACAATAGACTGTCAGGAGTGGGATGCCTACTTTGAGATAGGATTTATGCTAGAACCGTCTTTAATAATATATTCATGTGCTGAAAAATTTTATAACCAGAAAACAACAGCAAGAAAACTATTGCTGTTTTTCGTGACACTAACAATTACAAATGTGATCTTGAATATATCATACAAAGTAAATTATTTGACTAATGCTTCATTAAAGTATTACATTTGAGTACATTTTAAAAATTTCTTGTTTAAGATCATATTTGACATATTTGGGGGTATCATGTCATTATAGAAACTTAGTTATTTCCCTAATTTTTATATGAAATTGTGAATTATTAAGTTGACAAAATAAAGCCTTTTTTTCCCCCAAATAAAAATGTCATATTCCATACAGCTTTTTAAAAACCTCTTAACATATAATGGCTATAACTTTAAAAAAAAAAAAAACTCAAATGACGCTGTGGTTTACCAGATTTTAGGTACAAGTCTGGAGAAAGACTGGTATTTGTTAACAAAGTCATCTTTAATTGTCCTGAGGTCTTTACTATAGTTTATAGGACTGTTTTGCTGAAGATAATTCTGGACTGTATAGCTGAGATATAAAATGTGGAATAAAAATATCTTATTTCTTACCACTTCATTTACAATAAATGATTAAAACAGTTTTGGCAGAAAAATTCCACACCAGGATATTAAATCACGTAATAAGCCTTAATGGAATCTTTGTTTCTTACTGGCATCAATGGCGCTACTTATGTGAAAGGAAATTGGGATCTCTGTATAGATTCCAGGAAATCTGAACACACACACTCATTTGTCTTTCTACTCTGCCTTTGCTAATCCTTGATATTCCACTCCCCAAGGGAAGTCTCACCATAGGCCTGTGTAGACTTTAGCTCATGCCTGCGTGTGTATGTGTTGGTATTTTTAGGCACATATTTGCAGTCTAAAGTGATTTGAGTCTATGTCAGTTTAATCGTCCCCATTTCTTTTTACCTTTGTTCTGTTTGCCCTCAGATAACTTTAGGAGTCATCATTCACCTTTCTCTTTATACTTTTTTCATCTTCCTTTTTTGTCTTGTATATCACTGCCAGGATGCCATACTCTTTATCAGAATGGAGAAAGATTTACTGAATTTGTTGTTCCTTGAAGAAACAGAGTGATAGTTTGCCCTTTCCCCGTGCTAGATCCTACAGACTTTTGCACATACTATACTTCTTTTCTAGCATTTGTCATATTGCAGTGTGATTTTACATTAATATTTTCATCTCGACTGGATGCAGTGACTTGCGCCTGTAATCCCAACACTTTGGGAGGCTGAAGCGGGTGGATCACGAGGTCAGGAGTTCAAGACCAGCCAGGCCAATATGGCAAACCCTGTCTCTACTAAAAATACAAAAATTAGCTGGGTGTGGTGGTGGGAGCCTGTAACCCCAGCTACTCAGGAGGCTGAGGCAGAGAATTGCTTGAACCCTGGAGACAGAGGTTGCAGTGAGCCAAGATGGCACCACTGCACTCTAGCCTGGGTGACAGAGCAAGACTCTATCTAAGGAAAAGAAAAAAAAAAAAAAATCCTGAGGCTTTCAATTATCCAGCACACTCTGAACGGAGTTTTAGTAACTATTGGTTGAAATGAATGTGAAATAAATGAAACAAAAATATCTCAATAGGAAAGGCAGCAATAAATAGGTTACAATAAAAAGAATAGAAATACATGACTTTGGGAAAGCATCCACCTTTTACTTACAGCTTTATTAGGGGAAGATTGCTACTATTTTTATAATTTCCAATTTTATTAATGCATTATTGATGTCAGTTCCTGATCTCCAAAGTGTTATTTTAAAAATTTTTAAAAGAACAAGAACGACTTACTAACAAACATTCTTAATTATTTATATGTTTATTTTAAAATGTTAGTGATAAATAGAACTTTCTATGTATGCCCATCTAGAAAAAAAGTGGTAAGAAAATTTGCCAATTTCTCTCTTTATTTGACTTCATTTCTCTCTCTGTTTCTCTTTTCTGGCCCTAGCATTACTTGTACAGTAATGACATTTTGCA